CAATAATTTCGATTTGAGAGAGCATGCCTATTTCTACCTACTAATCATCATGTTTTTTTTTTTTTTTGTTTGTTTGTTTTTACTTTTGTTTCATTAGAGTTACGCACCCCAGACGATTTCCTAGCAGCGTTACTTTGGGCTGGAATAACTGGTAGAGAATGGCCAAAGCGCACACGTCTCTTTGCCTCTATAAAAACCAAGTACGGCACACCCATTTTCGAAAAACGCTTCGAAGACAATGTCGATGGACATGCAGAAATAGCAATGCTTAGAAGCAGCAACTTTCTGGACGTAGTAGAGAAAAATCATAACATCGAAATCACTCTGACTTTAAACTACTCCCCCTGTAGTAGCTGTGCAAAGGAGTTAAAAAAAATTTATGAGAAGGACCCGTATAACTCAAATATCAAAAATTTCACCATCCAGTTTTCACACTTAGATATGATAGACGAAGAGAAAAATAAAACTGGCCTCCGAAACCTAAACGAAGCAGGTGTAACCTTACAAGCTATGAATGCAGAGTCGTGGCGTGAAGTTGGAATTGATCTTGAGTCTATACCTCCCTTGGGAAAAAAAAGAATAAATGAAAGAGACAACAAAACTGGCAGTGTTCTACTGAGACAAGTGCTCAATAGAAATTTCTTAAAAACGTTACTTTTGACTGGAGTAACTGGTACAAAATGGCCAAAACGCACATATCTCATTGTCTCTATCAAAGCCGAGGACGGCAAATCCATTTTCGAAGAACGCTTCCAAAACAGTTGCAAAGAACATGCAGAAAAAGTAATGCTTAGAAACCTCAACTTTCTTGACGTAGTAGAGAAAAATATTAACATCCAAATAACTCTGACTTTAAACTATTCCCCCTGTAGTAACTGTGCAATCGTTTTAAAAGAATTTTATGAAGAGGATGTACATAAGTCAAATATCAAATATTTCACCATCCAGTTTTCATTCATATATTACGTAAAAAATAAGGAAAATAGAACTGGCCTCCAAAACCTAAGCGAAGCAGGTGTAACCTTACAAGCTATGAATGCAGAGTCGTGGCGTGAAGTTGGAATTGACCTCGAGTCTTTTACTCCCGAGGATAAAGAAAAAATAAATAAAAGAGACAACGACACTGCCAACGATCTAAATGAAGTGCTCTTTACAAACAAGCAAGATCAGGACGAGTCTGTTGACGAATTGTCTTCACAATTGAACGCAAAGTTAAGAGCTAAGGAAACTTGAAACGATGCAAGTCTACTTGGACCTGTGACTCTGAGAAAATAGATGGTCTTTGTAGCAGGCGCAGTTCTAAGCAGACTGTAGAAAGGAGAAAAAGTACTCTTGTTAATAAGTGCAACTTGAAGAAAGTGCAAGCGGTATCAAGTGTAATATGTCTGTTATTGACCTCAGAGTTATGTACTTTTCATTATCTGGCTTTCATAACACAGTTAAATAGTGGTTAGTGTAGAGAACTCATAGGTCAAGTGACTTTTCTCATTGCTGTAATTCAACAGTACTGTCTTTTATTCAATGATCATCAAGATAATATGTTAACCATAAAATACCCGTAATTAATTATTTTACTTGTAGTTTGGAAAGTATATTTAATTTACGTTACGATTGACTAATAGGAAGTATCCTTAATGCATGTAACGCTATATACTGTAACGCCATACGCTACTGTTGGAATAGGTCTGGTCAACTTCGAATAACATTGCAAGATAATTAAAAAATTCCTTAATATTTCGTTTTTAATGTTTGTAGAAATTGAATAGCGTAATTAATGAACTAGTATGACCGAGACAGCTGAGCTTGTGAAAACAGTAATCGGTGTAAATAGTGTTGTTTGAAGGAACAAAAAAGGTTGATTGCATTCTCAATGGCTATAGCAATGTAACCAGAATGATTGAACGACTAATGCTGGTAGGGC